TCTGGTGTATGTGAACACTACTAGCGCGTAAACCATGCGTAGAATTTTTTCCAAATTCAAGAAACCTCTGTCCATCTGGCTCGAGTCGAAGCTATGAGATTTTGAAATACATTCTTTAAAATTTGGGGGTATTTTACATGAAGCCCTCCGGACATTTTCAAAATGATCTCAAAAACGGCCCTAAAAATGTTCTTTAAATTTCTTGTAAAATTGGAGTAAAATATAAAGGTGGCAAAGGTCAGATTTCCAAGATTTACTCTGAATTTTTGAAAATTTGAAAAATTTTCTGGCAGTAACTTACAACTACAAAATTGAAGATAGAGATTTTTCCTTGAAATAAATTTGTTCTCTATAGTGAGTTCTCTCTTTAAGGTCAGGATTTTTTAAAAAAAAGTTAGTCGTTTTCGCAAAATATTGCGAGCAATATGTGCAATTGAAAAAAATTCTTAAAAACGGCTCCAAATTTTTCTCTAAACTTTTGGTAAGGATTGTGGTAAATGCACTCTATAAGATGACATAAACGCCAAATTGCTCTATTTTTTTTTTTTTGAAAAATTACAAAAATTTAATTTTTTTGAATCGACTCTCACGTTAATATTTACATTAGCGGCAATTTCTTTACTCTATTTACACTATTTATGAGTACATATTCTTTAAATGATGTGAGATAAGTTTCACGAAAACTCAACAGTTTTCCGTGAAAATGGCTCAAAATTCCGCGTATTCAGAAACGTTCAAACTCCATTTTCTCTAAAACGGCTCCAATTTTTTTTATTTAAACTTTTCCAACAGATAGTGCTAATTGCACTGTTTAAGAGGACAAAGAATTAATTTTGCTGTATTAATTTTTTTTTATTTTAGAAAAGTGCATATTGTTTTGAAGATCTCTCACGTCTTAAATATGTTAATTTCCAGCAATTTGTAAACAATGTTGCATTGTGATTGGAAGTGCTTGAAAAGACGTCATATGAACTTTTTCGAAAACTCAAAGTTTTCTGTGAAAAGAGATTCATATTTCGAATTTACAGTTCATTTGTCATTTTCTTAAAAAACGACTCCAAATTTTTCAATGAAAATTGCCATTTAGGACGAGGTTTTACTGTTCTTTAATATTTTTAAATTGATAATTCTATTTTATTATTAGATGCGAAAAATTAAGAAAATTTCGAAAAAAATTACTTTGGGCGGCGATAGATGGCAGCTGGCAAGAATATGTGGCAAGTCCGAATAGCTAGCCGAGACCAATGGAAAGAAAAAAGTAATACGGGAAAGTCTGTGCCATTCTGTAGTACCACTAGTTTAATTTTAGTTCATATGAAACATTGATTTTCATAATTCGAACAGTCAAACAAGTTCATTCAGTTCTGTCAAGGTAATAGCTGTTGCGTCTCAGGAGCTGTTCCTCTCATAAGTTTTCGTTAATATTGTGTTTGGGAAGTAACAAAACATAACATTTAGCAATGTTGCAATGCAAGTTTGCATTTTACTGTAAGTGTATTTTGTATTCCGATTCTTTGTATTTGTTGTGATGAAATTGGGGTTTGTATTTTATTACCAGTTCTCGTACTTTACATTGCACTTGTTAAGTTTTACTTTCTCAATCAGTACGTACTTATGTAGTAAAGATAAAGTATTGTAATGCTCCAGCGGACATCTGCGGTTTTTTGTCAGTAAAAATCGTTTTGTCGAGACCTGGTAACGAAAAACTTTAATATTGTTTGTGCACTGTGTAGTAAATTATTACCTCTTTAACATGTGCAGTCAGAATCCACGTTCTGTAGTCCCTTGATACCGAATAATAGATGACAAAACGACTGCCTTTGGAATATCTGCTTTCTTCTGTCTGATCGTCCGTCCGTGCATGATGGAAACACATGGGAGAACTACTGCGCATCGAGCAGAACTCTTTGTGCAGTTTTGTGAACGCACGGAAAGTGCAATGTACGTTCTCGCTACCGCGTTGAAACCATTCCTACCCTTACGGGCATCTATGGCCAATCCTGCAACATGAAGAAAAACAGAAGGTCAAAAATGACTTTAGCGCATTTGTGTGTTTGAAATACTTACGTTTAGTTTCAAGTCTCATTTCTCGTTTCAGATTTACTCTTACTCCAGAAAGCTTCGGACGCCAATTAAAGTGGCCCTTTGAGCAGGTTGCATGAGCGCAATTCGGAAATGAGAGGTTTTCCGAAAAAAAAAAAAAGATCTATCAGCAGTGGCATTGATAATTCGCGATGTATAGTTTCTATACGAGTGTTTCTAGGGGCGTAAAGGGCAGCCCTGAGACACTCGTTTTCAACTACTTGCATTTTCTTCATATGAGTAGTTGCAATTGCCCATCTTGGGCAAACGTAGTTGCGGCCTAATTATTGCTTTATAAAGCGTGAGGCAGTTTGCCGTTAACAGTTTGCTCTGGTGGTGAAACAAGCTTCGCAATCTGCCTCGGGTCTTCCGCGCTTCTTTCGCACATCTTCGATGTGCAGATGCGCATCGTACTGCGCATCGTATTCGACTTCAACCAATGTGCTTCAGGCATCAAATTGCGTCACATTTTTGCGGGAATTTTAAATGTAGCCAGATACCAAAATTATTACCTTGTTACAAATCATTGAAACAGATATATTAAGCATTTCTTTTAAATATTGCATCTTGTACACTTTAGTGTTATTTTTGGCCGGTCACCGTTCAAAATTCTCACTTTATGCACTCAGAGAAATGTAGTACAGTTCACTTAACTTGATTAGTAAGCGATCATAGAATAAATACAATAATTATTTGTGTGTTAAGATCCACTAAATATGATTTAGTTTCGTTTAGTAAATCAGGCAATTGTAAATCGTAAGTGAATGTACAAAGAGAATTGTCAGTGGTACTACACTTGTTTGGTAGATGAAAGTTAGGTGTTGACAGTTCGGCGGCGTCACTACGTTTCCTTGGCGATGGCATGCACTGGGCCAATAGGGTGTCAGTTACGTCAGCATCCGCCGACTCGCATTGCCGATGAATTGTATACATCGCCACGTGCACGGCCAAAGGCACGATTCAGTTATGAGCGTGGGCGCCAAGTCTCGTGCCCGAATGAAACATAAGCCCTGATAGAGTGTAAACGATGGCTTGGATTTCCTATGAAAGTCGCAGTGTCGCATTGAAGTGCCGTGAAAAGTTGTACCGAAGGCGGTGGACCACATTCTTCGCCGATCTTTGTTACATACGTCCTCCTTTCTCTCCTAGTTCGTGAAAGGAGCGTAGCGAAATTTGCATCGTCAGACGGAAGAGCGGGCCTGATGGCCCGAGTCTCGCCACGTAAAATAAGGCAAATTCAATTCAATTCAATTCAATACGTGAAGAAACATTAAAGTTTTTGGAGCCGTTGCTGAGACAAGGGCTTAAAATTTAAACATTTCCTCTGTTTCTCGTAAAGTTAACACAAAAATACTCATTTTCGAAAAATTGAACATTGCCTTATGTGATGATCTCTTACTGAATACTTTTCTTCAAAAATCTTCATAAGTGTAGTTGTAGGAACACGCACATTTCTGAAATTCCGAAGAGGAACATTAGACATGCACATTTCTGTTAAGCATCTGTTATGCAATCTGACCAAAAAAAATGTTTGGTGCCATTTTTTTGAAAATGTCCCAGGGGGTTCATGTAAAGTACTCCCCAAAATTAAAATATTGATTTTTTTAAACTCAAGGCGCCATGACATTTGGTACGACCTATATTTTAAAAAATTGGTCAAAAATTCAAATTTCTCGCACGTTCGCGTTCTCAAAATGGCAATACGTGGCTTACTTTAGTACGTATGTGTACACGTAATAATATTCGTAGTACCTATACGTAAAGTTATGTAATGTTGCGGAAAAAACAATTTTGAGATTTCAACGGAAATACACGTTTTGGTGTCCCCTGATACCGAGAAAGGGTTTTTATTTTTTTTCTTCAAAACCTTCGTCTGTTATCCGAACAAAACCAGTGCCTAAACTATGCGTAGGATGTTTTCCACACTGAATACTCCCTGGTCGATCTGGCCTCACTCGAAAATTTGTGATTTTGAATTACTTTCTTTAGTTTTTGGGAGTATATGAAGCTCCTGGGACTCACAATTTTCTCAAAAATTGCCTCTAAATGATTTCTTTAATTTTTTTTGTAACAAGAAAGCAAGATACACTTATAAAGGCGACACATGGTCCGATTTTCACTGTCAACTCTAAATTTTCGAAAATTGCAAAAGTTTGAAAATTTCCTGTGTCTTCCCACAACTATAAAATTGAAGACTTTTTCGTTCAAATGAAATGTGTTCTCCATAGTTAGTTCTTTCATTTAAGTTATGTACTTAAATACTTTAGTACGTTAAATACTTTAGCAGTTCACGCGCAATTTTGCGTGAAATAGTGCAATACAGTAGAACCCCGGAAATCCGAAGTGGGGATGTGATCTGTTCTGATTATCCGAAAAAATGTACCGTAAATATACAAATACATCTATACGATTACTAAACAATACAACGTAGCGTAGCGATCGCATCATCACATCGCACCATCAAAAATATTCAGTTTCTTACAGCAAAAGAAGATAATCGATTTTCCAAGTTCCTCTTCGTGAAAATTACTACATAAACATTATATACATCGTAGTTACCAGTACAATAAACGTGTCATTTTGACATTTTTCAATAATTGGTTCTACAGTAATACTTCAGTAATACTACAGTAATACAGTTTTACAGTAATTCTAAAATACTTTCTTTACACTACAAATAAGCATGTCATTTATTTTGTTTATTTTTCCACCGTCCCGAACATTGTTCGGATTATCCGAGATTTCGGGTTTGAGTGGTTCAGATTAGCGAAGTTCTACTGTATTTAAAAGTATCGAAGACAAGAATTTCTCAAAAACTACTAGTTGGCCACTGAAAGAGAGAGTTTTTTTTAAATTAAAACTAAACTCAAATTGAAACTTGATCTTCTGGTAACTACGTGCCTTGTCTTCTCTTTTAGGAACGGCCAAAGAGTGAAGGTCTAACTCCCTATCAAGGGAAGAGACGGACCTTTGGAAAGTACAAATGTCCACAATGCAAGAAGTTGTGGTGGTCAAGTAACAGCTGGGCCAACCTGGGGCAAGAATGCAACAAGTGCTTTACCATGGTATATCCATACTCACAAGTGAGTTCAGTTCCATGTTTTGTGTTTAGCTCAGAACAGCCAGTTGCCCCAGTTGTTCTCAAGTTATATTGGAATAAACATTCATACATTTCTTGTTATATGCATATTAAAACTAATTGCTTCTCCCTTTTGCAATTATCGATTAGACCGCCCTGCCTTCCACCGACTGCTTCCCTCCATCTCTGCTTACACCACACTTTCTCCTTTCTCTGCCCTCACCTGATAGCTTGTTACCCCTCTCAAAGTGTAGGTTCCCATGGCTATAGTCGGTATCTATTTGCTTAACCGGGAGATGTTGCACCCTAGGCACAGATGCCTAAGTTTTGGCCGACATGCTGCAACCTTCCTCATTTTACCCTGAGGGAAGGTCACAGCGTGATTTCTAAGTTGCTATCTGTACCTAGGACACGGCATCTCCTGGACAGACAAGTAGATACTTTTTACCCCTCTGCGCACACTGGATGTGCTGCCAAATCTCACTCTACCCATGCCGCACGATCTTGATAGTGTGCAAATTCTCTTACACTCTTATATGACTCTTATATTTTATACACTCTTATATTTTGTCATACCCAATTTACAGACTTACTCTCTTACTATCATTAATATACTTCAGAAGTTTGGGGTCTTACAAAATATCATTTTTCACATTTACACATTTTCAAGATACTACCTCACAGCATCAAAGCAGTGACAACTTATACATGTTTTTAAAGAGAAGGAAAGAAGTCAGTTGCAAAAATTAAACCAGCAAATTGGATTACACAAGTCAGTTTGCAATGGACTAAGTGGAAGAGACCTATTGGTTCAGTTTGCCCTTTCACTCTGGCTTCCACACTATAAGAGTACACCATATGCCAGCTTTGGCCCACGGCCTGGTGATATGACTCGTGTGAGGGTGATGCATGATGTCCAGTTCTCAGAGGGATTCAGATAATTTTGTTGTTGTTTGAAAGCGCATTTATTTTAAAACTTGTCAACGTCCTCATTTTAACATTTAACAATTTTCCTTTAACATCGCATCAAATCCCCCCCGAATTACATTTGAGATAAGAAAATATGTGAGGAGAACATTCTTCCCTGCCACCTCCAAGAAACCAACCCTTCATCAAAAGTACTGCCTTAGTCTTCTAATGGAAAATCTAGATGATAATCAAGCATTTCAATTCTGTAATTACTTAATATTCTACAATAATGTGAATGTTATCGTATGAATTTTGTTTTCAGAGACCCCTTGTATGCATTGATGATGACGAGGATGTCTCTAAGCAACCTAAGGTGAGTCACCAGAACCTTTGCGAGAATATTCGAAATAAGAAATTATGTGAGGAGGACTTTCTTTCCTCCCAAATCCATGAAACCAACTCTGCATCAAAATTACCGTTTCAATCTTCTAATGGAAAATCTAGATGATATTCAAACATTTCAATTCTGTAATTACTAAATATTATGCAATAATGTGAATATTAACATAGAAATTTGTTTTCAGAAAGAACTTATGAAAAAGAAGCATGAAGAGAACCTCTGTGAGAAATGCCAAGAGCTGGGGTTTTGCTGCGTACGGCTTCCAACGATATATTTTGGATAGTTACTTCGATTATTTTTTCTTTTCTTTTTTTAAATGCTTTTTTACCTGCATATAGGACAGCTGAATATACAACAATATTAATTTTGAAGAGGTCTCCTGAGATTTTTCTAATCATTTTTACTGATTATTACAATTCAGTGAATAAAATTGAAATTTTCTTTATGACTAAAATTGTCTTAATATGATGGTTAAATCTTCTTACCTGAGCTACCACTATTTTCTTTTCCTGTATATCATCATCATCATCTTTTTTGTCACTGCCATTTCCAACTTCACATGTATCATTCTTTCTTTCTTATCCTCCTTCCATAATGGGTTCTTCTAAAAATTTTCCACATTAACTAGGCATTCTTCGTTTTTCCTTTGATGCCTTCTAGGAACATTCCCATCTATGTCACTAGATTTTACATGTTGGTTCTCTTGTTCATGGACTTTGTATCTTTAACAACCATTAACTTGAAATTTGTTAATGTTTGTGTGCTCAAGTTGTGAATTGAAAACTCATATAACCTTATCTCTGTTCCAAGGGAGAAATGAAAATTTTTCCAAGTTTGGGAATGCTTTGTTAAGAAATTGTTTTATCATTTTGCATCTGTGGTTGGATGTAGAATTATTGGTCAATTTAATTTTTCATTTTGATTTCTTGCAAAAAGTTATTTGCAATAGGGGGTGTTGAACTGTGAGTCCATATGACCATGTCAATTGTTGTATTGTGGAACAAAATCTTGTCATGATTTAATCGTTTTTACTTTGCTTTTCGCTTACTACAAGGACATTTGTTTGGTATTCTCTCTTTACAGATCTGTTTAAAAGTATTGAAGAGTATTCTCAGTTTTTATGATTAACTGTTTCTCAACTGATCCAAAAAACATAGCAGAGAATGCGTGCATCAAGAGGGTTGGTAGGTTATGAAGTGAGTTCAGGGTTCTGCGAATACATTTTTGGGGAAAATTCAATGAAAACACACATCCATTTCCTTAATAAGTCATATAATCTAAAAAATGTACATATTACAAATTACGTTCATTATATCAAAGTTCACTTATACTTATAAGCCTTCCCCACACAAAACCAATTAATATCAAACACAGTAATTTCTTTTGGCCAGTAACATATGTATATATGTACTTGGCGCGACAGACCGTGAATGGGCTTCGGCCTAACGGCGACGTCCCTGCCTCGCGGCCATGGGTTAAGGGTGCACGTGTGGTTAGCGCGTAGACATCCCCACGCCGTATTTCGGTTTTCTCAACCTGAGAAGTGAATTTTCTCATTGTCACACAGCAACATATACTGGGACATTGCAAAGAAAACGCACACTATAATCTTGCCTCACTGGGAATCGAACCCGGGGCCGGGAAGTGGAAAGCGAACATGCTGCCCACGAGGTCAATTTCATTACACCTACCTGAAATATCAAACACAATTTATTCAATGAAATCCCAAATAATCTATTAAGCTAGTAAAGACATTGTGTACACTACCAGTTGCATTTGTAATATTCTATTACACCTGGGTTGTGATTCTTTGAAACTAAAATCCATCTATATACTGGCCAACGCAGCCCTATAACTTCACCTAAACTTTTGATTCCAACTGACTCTATTCATGCCAGTAAAGTAGTTGTGTGAAGTGATAAGAGTTCTTAACAGTCTTTCACATATTAAAGAATTGCACAAAATGCTTTCATCCATTCCTTTAGAAAATATTTTCTCAATGATGTACAATTTATACAAGTAAAAAATACTTTCTATTATAAAAAGTTAAAACAACAAGACACCTTTTTGAACAATGCTGGCGAACAAAGATACAACCTGGCTCCTGCATTCAAATGAACCAAGATTACTTGTGCAAAGACATGAAAAGTTTTCCAGCATATCTGAGTAGAGAAAATAATAATTTCAATATATTTAGCCAGTAGCGGCTCTGGGATTAGGCATCAGGGAGGGCACACAAAGTTACAGGATCAAATAAAGTTAGGCATTTGAAATATTGTTATATTTGGATTGTTTAAGACAAGTAAACTTTACAATCGAGTTTTCTCCCCGGAAGACAGGCTAAATACATGATCTATAAATTAAATTGAGTCTTCTGTTGTTACATTCTGTAAATCTATTACTAATTCTTCAAAATTAAAAGAGTCTCGTAACCAAACTCTTTATAATGAAAACATACAAAGTCCATTCAATCTCTCTTTCGATATGGTATTTCTTAAAAATGTCTATAATCTTTTTAAAGTGAAAACGCTCTCTCAGATTCTTTTATATAGCACATCCAGCTCAGATTTCAGTTTGCTAGCTGGAGAGAACTGTGAAACGCGATCAACCCTTTGTAGGGGGAATTTTTCTTGATATTGTTGGAACGTTTTACAATCAAAGAGAGAACACAAGGCTAAATTCCCCCTAAAATTAAGATGGCCATTAACCCCTATGTAATTTCCGTACGAAAGAACGATTGCCATTTCTATCAGATTTCTATTCACTAGCAGTGCCGTGTTGGAGGAAGACGCATCGAAGAGCATTACGAACTTGGAACGTTTCTCTCGACTCGCATCGCGGCCGAGGTTTATCCTACTTGTGCCACAACTACTAGATTCTTGACAGAGCAGGAAGAGAACTTCTGCCTAGGGGCCATTGCTCCTCGAGAGCAATGGACTCAGGACTGAGTTCCCACGCGGGTAGCGATGAGGAGATGGATGGTACGGGACCACCCAGCACCATCTGGATGTCGCTCCAACAGGACGCCGGGCTGCGGCCCAAAAAACACAAGAGAGCCTCCAGTTCCACCAGAAAAGCCAGCAGGGACAACTCGCCCACATCGGCCAAGAAGGCAGAACTCGACAAGGCGGTGAGTAGTGCCGGCGGTGTGACAATCCCCCACCCTCCCGCAGGACTTCCTCCCAACTCCTTTCTAGCTCTCCACAACCACAACCCCTCCTAAGTACTCCCACCTACAAACTCCCAACCTATCACTGACAGCGACGGATTCAGAAAACCTGACAAGAGACACACCTGCAAGACCCCTGTAACAAAAGACCCACCAGCAGTTACAGTAGACAACCGGTATGCACCGCTGACCACGAACGACCCACAAACAATGGACCAGAGAGATTGAATCAAAAACGGCCCCCCCAAACGGGCCCAATGGTCCCCCTTTCCCCTCCCCCGCCAACCGCCGGGGGGTAAAAAGGAAAACTGGCCGGCAAAAAAGCCCTTTGGTCCCCTGCCTCGAAAGGCCCAACGCTGGGGGAAAGGCCAGGTGGGTGGTTCAATCCCTGGGACGGTTTTTTTTGTTTTCCGCAGACAGGTTGAAGTTAAGTTCCCCTAAACAAGCCAAAAAAACCTCAGCCAAAATTCCGTAACGTTTGGATTTAACGCTCATAAAAAAAGTTTTTTTCAGAAGTTTTTGAAAATGGTAGCCACAAGAGTGATAAGGACCAGATTAAGGAACTGGGATTATTTCATTTTTCAACCGAAGTAAATC